ATATATATATATAAGACTTCAATATTACCATTCGGATACTTTACCAACTGTCCATCTGGTACGGTATATTTCCAATTAGGATACATTAAATATTATGAGGAAAACTTTTGACCCCGTCGAAATTCGAACCCAAAATCGCTAAATTACCGAAATATATATTTATTATAATCTTTGGTAATCACCAGTAGACGTGTTTACCATCATACCAAAGTTACTATCATGCGATTTACTTATATTCATTGCATATTACGCAAAGAATTGAGAAAAAAAATGTAAAAAATGGCATTATTGTTGTTTAAAGAAAATTCATAAAGTGCACAAACACATAAAAAATTTATCTATGTTAAAATTTATTTTTACTAAAACATCAGAAAAAGATAATTTAGTAACATTAGTCATTTGTATATAATTTTGAAACTCATTTTGTTTTTATTGTTGTAAATTGAATTTATATGCATAATTATAATGTATACCAGATAATATATAATATTAAATTCAATAATAATCTTTTATATCAGATAAAATAGGCCTATAATATGCCTTTTAATAAATTATAAGTTAGAAAATCAGTACATACCTTCATCTCCTTGAGCTGTAATATAATAGAAACAAAGTATAATTTAATAAGGTTCACAACAATGGATGATTCTTCACTACTATTAATATTTATTTAGAATTTTGATTAATTATCACTATGGGTCTAATAATAAAATTGTACCAATAATAATAATAATAATAATAATAATAATAATAATAATAATAATAATAATAATAATAATAATAGTATTTTTGTTTGTTAATAGTTTGAATTAGTTGATATTTAGATAATTTTACCCATATGAGGACAAGTTAAGCATTATTGATGACATAAAAAACTATTATTATTATTATTATTATTATTTATTTTTTTTATTATTAATAATATTATTATTATTGTTATTATTATTATTATTATTATTATTATTATTATTATTATTATTATTATATTAATTGATATCAATTAATCATTTATATCATACACCGTACTATATTTGTTAGTTTATTTGCAAAAATAAAAAATAAATTAAATTTCATACAAAACCAATGACAATGACATTTTACATGACAGCATTTATCGAATTCATTCCCTCGGATGATACAGGCACAGGTGAAGTAGTTAATAATTTTGTTTTACTATCATGTATTTCCCTCCTTGTGAATTTATGCCCTTCTTAAGTATACAGTTAACATTATAGGATACCAATTTTAGCAGGCCTATAGATTAAACCTGAATGGCATTGCCCCAACCTCCTAGATATAATGGCCTGACACCCCAGCTTCAGGTACCATACCCTACAGTTCCAGAGCAATGGCTACCGGGATTTTAAAAAAATGAACCATTTATTAGTGATCACATCAGACCAATTGGTTGTTAATTTCAATTTATTTTATTTTTAAAATGTGGGCAAAAATTACCACAAATGAACTAAATTACTCTTTTGTATGAGTGGCAGTCCATTTCACAAAACAAACTTAAGTGTCCTGTATGATGATTTTAAGTGTCATTATGAGGTCCTAAAAACTTCAGTGGAGTTGTTTTTGGTCACGAGAACAATTCCAAGATTTGAACCAAGGAAGCAAGCATTAGCAAAGGCAAGCACTTTGACCAACAAATTAAAACTTTCAATAATCAATTGTAAACTAATGAGTGATTCGGGTGGGGATCGAACCCACGACCTCAAGGTAACTAGCCTGGTGCAATAACCACTACACTACGAGCTTGACACTAGTCACCAAGCGCAAGCTCGGTAGCCTAATGGTTACTGTTCCAGACTAATTATCTGGAGGTCGTGAGTTCGATTCTCACCCGAATTACTTGCGATTTTTTTCCCCGCAAGTATTTGGGAACGCGCTGAGTATAATTCGACATCACTCTTACACTTCTATAGCGTTGCCCATTGCTGTCGTTGTTTATTCAGTACCGTACTTCATAAATTCACATTATATAACATTTTTAAAATACCCAACAATTAAAGTCACAGGGCTTAATTCCAATGAGGTCCTCATGTATTAAATATTTACATTAAAATATGAAGCAATATAATTTATTTTTTTTGGTTTTTCGTATTTTGTTTTTAAGAAAACCAAATCCATATTATTCTGTTTAATTTCAATTTAGTAGTGTATGCCCCAACTATAGTCTTAAAAATAACGTAAATGTTAATATGTAATGAATACCATACACAGTTTCTAGTGTTTACTGTTTATGTTGTACCTTGATCTTATGCTACTTTTAAATTTGAATTTTTTTTTGTAAGAGTAATGAACACTGTTGTCTAAAAAAATCACCATCGTTTGTTTAAAAAAAAATACAATTGTATTTCAGTAAATCATTGTCGTTATCCTATCTTACAATCTTTGTCCTGTTCTTGACGTAAGCAAAACACACACAAAAAAAACAAACAGATGGCAATATAAAAGTGCCCAAATTTTCAAGGACTGTTTCGATTATTCACTTTTTGTAAATATTTATGTATATTTACATATATGATATAATATAATGATATAATATACACTTATGTCATATATTGATATATAGTTACATGATTAGGTTAAAGAATATTAATGTAATTATTATAAGAATATTAGTCACTTAGGGGATAGATGGTTATTTAATCGACAACTTCGTTGTACATATGCTACATATAAGCGCATAGAGACCTCGTTTATTTGCACTATATAAATCCATCTATTATTATTATCTATTATTACAGTGGTCGATATTAATCAATATCGGAACTAAAGGCAAGGGATGAGTATACGGCTGTGATTTGCATGATATAATCAATGAGGTATGTGGGTCGTATAGCCAACACTGTGGATTAATTAAAAAAATAGATCAATATGAACGTGATATTTTGTGAATTAGATGTATTGTTCCCGATCGGCTGTTGCTTCTTGATTACGTATTATGCAGTAAAATTAATGATATAATTGGATTCGGTATAGTTTATCATATTTACAAAGACACTTCACAGAAAATTAAGTAATTAGGATTATTTGCATTTTAAATAGACACAGAAATATGAACGTGGTCTTGAAATTAATTACTGTATGCGGTCATCTCGTGAACGAGCCACCGGATTAAAATGCGCTACGTAAATCGATGACATTTCTTCGATTATCTATTTCCAATCTACCGAAACATTCGCCTTACAATACAATATTCTATCCCAATGTATGTTATTTAGTGGTGCCTCTGGGAAAAAATTTCAGGGGGCTAAGGTATCCAAGAGGTGTGGTCTGAGAATTATTGGTAGAGACCAGCGAGTCCAGGGGAGAGCCCTGGTGAAGGTCCAGGAATATGACTATATTAAAACAGTTAATGTCAATATATAAGTACACAATTATATTAAGCTGACAAATTCAAATAATCCAACGTACAATAATAATACTGTACAAATATAGTGCCGGTTTACTATTTACGGATTAAACATAGAGAGTATGCTCAATAACATTAGCGGAGTTAAGAAAAACAAAAATAGACAAATGATCCATAGCCGGGTGGTGACCACCTGAATACAGAGCCATTGCTGTAAACCAGTTCGTAGGTCTACTTTTGTTTGTTTAAAATCGAAGTTGCTGATTTCAGCATTTCGAAGCACTATAATGTCCACTAACGTTTAGAAGATAATAATACTTATATGAAATGCAAAAGGTTCAATACCTTAGGGGTTCACTTTCCAACCCCAAAAATTTCAATTCAGAAATACGATTAGTTTAACATAAAAATATACAGGTAATAATAAATCCAATCATAAAGCATACTTATATATCTTTAAAATACCACACCATTGTTTTATGGCTCAAGACCATGGAGGTTGATGTTATTATAGAATATTTCATCAAAAAAATACAGGTTTCGGTAGTAGATCTGCCATCTTTAGTGTAATGATTGCTACAATCTTATTTATAAATAAAATAAGAAACTGCGATACATTGTATTGTAAATACAGCGGATTTGAACCGTAAAAATTTAAAAACAACATATAGGCCTAATAATAATATGACGTATTACATTTTAGAAGCTGGAGAATCGATTGAACCGTAACTGTTAAGGAGAATGAATGACGTGAATAAAGATGAGAGAACGAGATAAAAAAAAATCCTCGCAAGCAATATAAAAGTTGCTTGTTATGGAAGGGTTTATTCCATTGGACGTGTAACGCTTCCTTTATTTTACATTGGCTAGCTGATGGGGCGGAAAACAGTATACGCACACATGTCCAGAAAGAATTGTTTTACATAAAATAATTGTTCGTCAATGTAACATAATTTTAGATAAATATTAAAGCATAGGCCTAATTGATATTATCAATCAACCAATAACATTTAAAGCGCCAAATACATTTTTTTTCTCTAAGATGCTTCGGGTCCTTGATCATGGTTATTGAAAATAAGTGAGCTGGAAAAAGTGCCTGCTTGACAGTAGACATTTGCTGTTGATGTGTTTAATCTGATTGTTTATTTCTATATTGAGAGCAGTTACATTTTTAAATCTCATTTGTTCTGTAATTTGGTATGGGCATTAGGGAGTTTTCGCAAGCTATACGAAAACGATAACGAATACGGTTACGTCAGCAATCATTTAGACAACCCTTCTCCTACACAGTAGAATATCTGTCACAACGTATGCGATACGTGCATTTGCATAAG